ACTGCAGATTATTACATGTACATGACACAACACCTAGTCACTCCAGCTTACCAACAACATGTCTTAAGGCCCATTCACAGAGAACCATTCATATACAATTCATACAGCTCATTGCAAAACTGGATTGAGAGAAATAATAGTCCCAGTACTCATTTGGGAAAAATCATGCAAATTGTAGGGGCATTTACTCATCATGACTTGGAGCTCTTTCGAGTCACATACTAAAAGTTGCACACAACTATTGCATTGTATAAACTGTCTACCTTATGCTTTTTCCGAAACAACATTAGCCTTACAAAAGATGTGATTTGGTGAAATTATAACAGAGAYGGCAATAACAAAAACAGACTGTCCAGTAGAGTAAACACTGTTCAGGGACCGCGGAGCGGAAATTTCGAAATCTTAACTCTCGGAAATGCCATTTCCAGCGTTTTGAGGCGTTATATCCAAGACATATTTACCGCAGACACGATCAGCAATATTATCTCAATAAAATCCCAAAGACTTCATAAGGAGGCTCTTYGCTTCTTTATTTAAGAAAATTMAAAATGTCGGAAAWATTATTGGGGGGGCTGTAGCCCCCCAGCCCCCCCTGCTCCGCAGTCCCTGACTGTTATATGAGAACAATAGACCTTGCTTATTGATTTGATTCAATTTTGTATCAAACAATCACATGCTTCTGACATTAGCCATCAATCCTTCACAGTCATGAAGATCATTTGACTATTGCTTACACCCATGCAATAGAACAAAATGTATTTGTTAGTGGGGTTGACACTTCTGATCAATAGTTTTTTCTGRATAATCTGTACAGATGAATGCATATTCACCTTTGAGTTAAAAAAGACAACAAGACCAAAAACAGTTTTGCATTGTATCATGTACTTTTATTCATTGCATTTACCTCAGTTGACAACAATTACATAAAATAGTTATCACAAAAATTGATAAGTATTTACAGTACTAAATCTATCTGTGTTTAAACAGTCCTTGTGATGAATCATACTTGAATGGAAGACTTCTCAGTCGTCCTCTGAAACAACAACAACAACAAAAACTATTCAATACTGAATCATACATACAGAATCGTGACCTCTAAAAGATAATTTCCATGTTATATTCTATTTTCACAAAAGATGGTAGATCCTTTTATTCTGTACCCTTATTTAAGTCTACTTACTTAAGTCCTCTCACAAGGAGTTTTTGACATCTTAATTGCTCCATGTTGCAATTGTTATCAAGATAACCGCTGTCAACAAGTACATCAAAACACATCTACAAATCAATTTAATATAAATCCATGAGTAACTTACTAATACTAATTCAGGTTACACGACTACATATTGTAAACAATTTTATTCTAAAACTTTAAAATAATACTATTATATGTATATAGAAATGAAAGAAAGTTATAGATGCTGAGAAGCCTTCAAGCAATTCCGARAGAAAGACYCTTATGAATAAATTCAGAAAAAWTAATTTCCRACCTCRMTGGGATTTGAACCCACAACCTCCAGATTTGTACTATYGATGCTCTACGAGCTGAGCTACAAGGCCAGACTGGGAGCAGTTCGGGGTGAAATAAATGTTAGGTTGCAGTAATAGAATAATGTAAAGATACACATGAATATGAGGACTGCATGGCACTATAATAGACACAGTTATCATGCCATGAGGTTCTCATATTCATACTATTTACTATTATGTCCAAACCTGTAGTCTTTTTAGTTGACTGGTTARTAAAAAGTCAGGTGAATCTGTGTCCATTAAGTCACTGTAATGAACATTTACTTCTGCTTCTATCAACTGTGTTTCAATAATATCACAGTAAGTACATACTATAAGGCAAAAAATTACGTTGCATAAAATTTATTGTATTTATTGTTTCTATTATTAGAGCGGATTTCGTATGAGTGGGAAACGGACGGTACTGTGACCGTAATCGTACTGTAAGTGTACTGTAACCAACTTCTAGTGCCCCATTGGTGAAGGCCAGGTGCGGTAACTGTGCGGTAACGGTGTCCAACTCATACGAAATCCGCTCTATCATCATTGATTCTTTTACCTTTGTCATCTCATCAGAGGAATGCACTCCACTGTTCTCTACAGCCAGACAAAATAATGGAGGATTGATAGGATAATCTTGGTATAGCACAACTGCCATCAGTAACTTGGCTGTGAATTAAAAAAAACACACATGATTTTCATAGTCACTCTGTTGTTGTTGACCTGTATTCAAGCAGGGATGAAGGGAAGTATAATCTGTAAGTTAACTGACTTATGAAATTAACTAATATTATTATATTTAATATCATGATTATGAATGCATAATAAATAATAAAGGTGTTTATTTTCCTATCATGATAATGTTTGACTTCTGCTTMATGTACATTACTACTAGTCTGTCTAGAGTGTATATGTCTTGAACATGTTCTTCCCTTTTTATAAATGGTGATTTACAGTCTGTAGTTGATTCAGTGATTACAAGTTTGTTTAGTTTAGTACCTTTRGTGTTTCTTTGAATGACAGCAGTATAACACATGTCTGTATCTGATATAAGACCTTCCTCGGCAGTATGTTTAACATGAGGCAATTCCTGAAATAATTTTTTAATAACAAAAAAAGTCYCTTAATTTGTACAAAAATATGAGGTTTTGATCATTGCATGTTTTGTAAGTCATATGAGCATAAACTTAAACAACAAATTAAATCAGGACCTATGATTAAAATAAAGTCTACAATATCTAATTTATAAAATGCACAGGTATTATTTTACTTACAATAAAATCRGCATAAGGCACKGGTTTCCAAGATGTCAACACTGACTTGGTTTGAAGAGGGAAYRATGGCAGTGATGAGCCCAACACTGGAATCTTACACTGCTCTGTAAAAAGAAGTTTGTTATTCTACATGTATAATCTCTAACATTTTCATTTGACATTTTATCATTTAGCTTAATTTCCTCTACAAAAAAGTTACTTCCATGCTGAACAATTTGAATGTCTACATGCCTTCCATGGTAGACACTGTACATGACGTACATACAATGTATGTTTTGTCTTCAATGCTACATGGACAAAAAACTTTAAATACTGGTGCATGGCTGGACTATAACACATATACATGCACTGGCTAGTAAGTTCAATGACCAGAAGTACTACTGAAACACTATTTGACCTACTCTACTTACCAAGTGATGTGAGTTGCTTTTGTAGGGCAAGTCTTGCCAGCATTCGTTCTCTGAGAGCAGTGATTGTTTCTTCCATGTGAGATTGACTAAGCTGTGACTTAGCTGTAGCAGGCTAAAAAACAAGGGCTTGCGTTAAATTTGTGTTAAACTTTTTTGTAATATTTTGTTTTGATCATTTAATGAGCACTGATGAAATGTCCAATTATCATCAATAATTACTGATAAATTTATTGTTAGATAAACGTTGAATATCACTGCTATACATACTGAGCCATCAGAGAGAAATTCAAGACCACAGACTCGCTGGGCCCATAAGAAAGGTTTGCCAATGTCTTTGATGCATGATAAAAAACTTGATATTCTGAGAATATAAAGTACAAAGTACAAACATCAAAAGTAAATCAAAGGCATCCCTTAACATAGTCTTCAGTTCTACAAGAGACATAATTAWGTCAAACAYTTTAGCCGACTAACTGAATTTTGAAAAAGACGGTGAGACAGTAGACAGCATAATCACTTACATGTACATGACTGYACACTTTCCTACATAATTTGACTAATGCAATGCAACTCACCCAACTTTTACTAACTGGAATTGATTGGTTGGATTAGGAGTGACATCGCCATGATCTCCCGGAAACAGATTATCCAGAATTGAGTCTGGAGACAAAAGATTACTGCAAAAAAGAAAGATTTTATAATTTTAAAAAGTATGAGAAAATAAACTTTAAGAGGTCTGTATGGCAAGCTTTGAGGTCAGGGAGTACCAGCCTTTTTCTTGCTGGTCTTTGACATAAAATGGACAGAGTCATTCAGATTAATTATAATATTACCTGGTTTCAAGCACAGGTTTTTCTTCAGGATTTGCAAGAGAAAGAGAAGGTGTAGCTGTGACAATATTCAGTGTTGGCAAGTAAGAAAACACTAGTGTTAATGAGTTTTTGCCTGCAAAAAGAAAGAAATTATTCATGAATGCAACTCGAACAACAACACACAGATACATGTACATGTAATTTCATCAAAATTAATTTAATTTGATATCAATTTTCTATTTACTTTTGAAATTTAACTTTAGATGGACATCTAATGGATGTTTCTTGAGCAGCGCTTTCTTCTCCTCTAACTGGCGACTTTCTTCTTTTTTTCTTCGTCGCTTGGACTATAAATTTGTGAAACAAAATACATTGTAAAAAATTCAAAAACATCCAAATAATGACACAATAGATAAAAAAAAGAAAGAAAAAGGAAATACCATAGCAAAAATGCAAAGAAATTATAACTAGAGCGGATTTCGTATGAGTGGGACACCATTACCGCACGGTTACCGCACAGTTACCGCACCTGGCCTGCAGAATTTTGGTGAAACAATGGGGCACTAGAATTTGGTTACAGTAAGATTACGGTCACAGTACAGTACCGTCCGTTTCCCACTCATACGAAATCCGCTCTATCGTACCCTTCTGGATTTGTTAGAGGCTTCTTCTGGTCCTTCCAAGTCTGAGTCACTCTCTTCAACTAAAGTCAGATCAATTTTAAASTAATCAAAAGGGTTTGAAGTGAATGCAAAATTGGAAAAGCATTGGTTTGGGTTTCACACCAAACACGCTGAGGGATCATTCAAAAATGTGTACCGGTATTATATATTTGGCAAATAACMATGGTTTACTATTTCAAAGGTCAAGTAGGGTTCCCCTACTCTTGAACCACCCCCTGTGGTTTATAAATGAAAATGTCACCAGAGTTCCTACCAGGTTTAATGATTGGTTTTTCTTCTAAAACAGCCTTAGCAGCATCAATATCACCATGGATTTGGACGTCAAGATGTTTATCACAAGCTTCATGGTAKGCACCAGCTTGTACATACAGGACRTAAAGAGGGATTGGAAGAAACTTGGCAGTCTCATGCTGTGCTCTTTGTTCATCTAATGGCATGTTGAGGTAMTCTTGAACAGGATGTGTTGCCTTTCAATGCAATTCAAATCAAGAATTACATGATATATTAACATACTAACATTATGACATGATAGTAAGTATAAAATACTATCTGTTCAGGTTATAGCTGTCTACATGTAATGCATTAATCATTGGAAAGGCAAAGCCTTTTATGAATAGTTATATACATAGCCAGGTACATGATGTAACTCTTAAAATACAATTAAGTCTTTCTTTAGAGTTGAATCTAGTAAGTTTTCTCCCAGACTAAGATGGACCTTTCCATGGACAGCCATTTTTCTTCGTGTCACCCTTGCAATTAATATTTCTTTTTCTGTCTAAAAATATCATCAAYTTTTGGATCGGACCTTTTTATGTGTACTGAAGATTTATGTGTATTGCCTAACTAACTACAATCTCTTGATATCTTACATGTACCTTTAATATGGCCTCCAGTCTTGGTTGTAAGCTATCCAGAAACTCTCTTTTTGTTTTGATTTCTTTTGCGAGAGAATCCTTATGACTTGCAAATTCTTCTTTTTGACTTGCATATCTAATAGCACAACAGTCATCATTTATTACAAACAATTACTAAACGTGGAAAGGAATACATTGAATGCTGTCAATGAGAAAGGTACCTTTTTCTTTGATATAGAAATGAAAGAAAGTTATAGTGCTTAGAAGGAGGCAATTCCAGGAGACCTCGCTGGGATTTGAACCCACGACCTTCGGCATCTTTGACATCTATTTCACCCTGACCTGCTCCCAGTCTGGCCTTGCAGCTCAGCTGATAGAGCATCGGTGCCCAAACCCAAGGTCGTGGGTTCGAAATTGCCTCCTTCTAAGCACTATAACTTTCTTTCATTTCTATATCGTGTTTATCATAGTGCTATGCAGTCTTCATATTCATACCTTTTTCTTTGCTCAAGTTCCCAGTCTAGTCTGGCAAGCATTCTTTGATGTGGATCGTTCTTGGTCACATCCTTTAGAAATTAAACAAACAGGATGATACATGTACATGTAGTTTTTACAGTGTATTGACAATATCACAATTAAATCAAGGAAAAACAAGATCATTAGAAAGCATAATTCATGCAAAAAAAATGATTAAGACTACACTGTTTAACTTAGCAACTACACATTAGATAATTATGAAATCTTCTTACAGGTTTTGTAAATTGTTCTGGGGCTTCTTGATAGAACTCTTCTTCTGATACCAGATCAATTTCTTCGTCCTTAGATCTGTCATTTTTACAGAGGGATAAATAGATATTATGACAGAGAATAAATAATATATAGAGATTTAATTAATCCTAGTTCACATGACCTAACAAYACAGCAATACCAAGATGACCAAAGTACATGTAAAGTGACACTAGCTAACAGGGGGAGTGAAGAGTGAGTGGGTGGTGAAAGCCAGTGGACTGTCAATGGTGGTTATTATGGTTACTACCATTTGCAATAGACTGATACTACACTTGAGGGAGCTTCTTAGCAACCACCCCCCCCCCCCCCCCCCCCCCCCCCCCCCCCCCCCCCAAACTGTTCAACAATAATGGATTTTAATAATCACATATATCCCTTAAATTATAGCATTTTTAAACTTACTTGAACTCTAAACACTTAGTGATTTCTTTTCTTAGATGCATAACTTCATACAGAAGATTTTGAAGCTGAAGATGCAATCCATCAACTTTTTGTTTTGCCTATTGAACAAAGAGCAAAAACCTACTGAAATATAGTGTGATCTGGTGCATAAACTGTACAGTTGTAAGTGTTATAGACGAAATGTTTTTGTTATAAACATAAACTGTACTAAAAACTGACCTCTTGAGTAGTGTCTCTTGCTTTCTTACATCTGACATGTGCTATTCGATTCAGTTTTTTGACAATAAGAAACAGCAATGTACATCTGATTCTTCTTTCACTTATCTCTGGAGACTGTAAATTATATGAAATAGCTGCATGAATTTACTACACATAAATGTATACTGTCCCTGCAGAGGTTTCATTGGCTGGATTAATCATTTTCAAAATAGTTATTTAATGAATATGCATTTAGAGGTAAATGTGTTTTTTTTTTAATCTCTTAAAAGAGATTCTTCAAATGTGACAGTTCCTTCACAACATCATAAGCTGTGCCTTTGCATTAAAGCCTGCATGAGTGAGCTTGTGTTAGTTAAATCATACAAGCTAGCACTTTATACGCCTCATCTTCATGCAAAGACATGTATACACTTTGAAAGACTTGTCAACGAAGATGTCAGAATCCCTTTTTGTTTGGCAACTTACATTTGATGGTTTCCCCTCTGATTTTAAGTCATTGATCTCTTCAATTAGTTTCCTRATTTCATCACAAGCCTTTCGATAAGACTTCACGTCCGAAACAGCATCACTCTTTTCGGCATCGTGTTCATCGATGTTCAAGACGTCAATCTTCTCCTTTGCTGCAGTTTTGGCAATTTTCTCTTGCGGAGAGCTGCTKGCATCAGAACGGGTCGATTTTCGTCTCTTCATTCCCAACAATACAACAGGAAATACTTTGAAAACTTTAGAATTCAAAATAAATCTTTTGAGCTAGGAAACATGCGATTTTTATACAAAATAAAGTTAAATAACTCGARGAAAGTAGATATTTTTAGTAAAAATTCTAAAAAGTTGCAGCACGCGCGCTTGGTTACTAAGCTGTCCCACAATGCATTTTTAGCGTGGCTACTAAGCAACATTCCCAGAAATGCTTTGTTATAATTTTCCCGCATTTTTGTACAACGCATGAGAAAGTATATAAATGCTGCTGACAAACATTTTTTGCGGTCTCAAAATATCCATATTTGGCAATGGAAGAGGTGTGGCAATTATTATGGTCTGCTCGTATAACATGACATCATTTATTAGCTGTCGTTCTGTTGATAAATTTTCGCTCCACATTTCCGAGTGAATTTTAGTAGTATGGAGCGTAAAGATTGTACTTTAAAGGCTTTTGATTATTTGACGATGTAAACCAGTCTATATACACCTCTATTTGATGCGTTTGTTGGACTAAGCTGTCGTTTCTGTTGGTGGGATTTAAGCTTACAGCTGCGACGCAAGCTCCTAGATCTAGATCAACTTTCAGAGCTGTGGATTTTGTGGAAAATTTTTGTGCATTATTTTAGGGTCTTAAAGACACTGCACTTGAGCACTGTGTACAGTTRATGGTGAGCTAGATTCTAWCCAATTTTACCAAATACACATGAAAAGAACTGTTTGTATTAATCTAATTTTCGCTTTCGTTTTATTCGTTCAAAGGAGGGCGAACAGCCAAATAGTCTTGCTTGCATTCGAGCCAACGARATCTTCCCAAAGAAACCATTGAAATCAGGTAATTGTGCTCCAGMAATTGAGTTTACTTTGCATGTAATGTTATAAGCATATATCCTTGTAGAACTGTTGGAAAACTCGTGACTCAGCTAATGTAAACATTGATTTTCGTTTTTCTTGTGACGACGAACTCGTATTATAAGAGCTTGAGCTTATATCTTATCTCTTTTTCTAATTTCTCTCAAATTTTCATCGCCAGCAGGTTTTACATCCTATAATGTTAGYATAGATAGTGTATTATATCCCATATTAAGTATAATTTGCGGATGTTTCACCAAGTCCCTTGACGCTTGTCAATTTTAAAAATTCAACGAAAAACGGCAGGTAGCGAACTTAGTACTAGCATGTTCTTGCTGACGATCGCTATTGAGCTGAGCTATGAGAGCTCGGTATTCGTCTGCAAGACTCGGACTCATAAAATTTCGCGAAAAGACTAACGTGAAGCACACTTGATAAACTGGAAAACTGCTCTTGCAATTACATTGCATCAATTCTTTCCATATCTTCAAAGAGTTTGTTTTTACTTGTGGCTGGATGTGCATTTCATTTCATTTTTTTTCATTCGATTTGTTTCATTTTTTCATTTTTCCACTTATCAATATAATTTTGATGCTCAATATGTTTCTCCTGTATTTTTCTAAAATTTGCTAATTCAATTTAGATGAACAATGGCATTAATAATGCATTAATGTTATAGAATTCAAGGATACAACTCAACTGTTGGTTCATCAAATATTGTTTAGTAGAAGCAATCGTGTTTATTAATTAGTCGCCATGGAGGTGAAGACATCTTTGTTTTCAAAAGTCCCTTGCTTCAAGTCTTCTACTTCATACAATCTCCCATAATTTTTAAGAAAATGTTGGCAATAGAGTGATCACCAAATGAGCCAATGGAGCTTACCTTTCAACTTGACATTTTTTGGGGAGCATAAAGCATGAAAGGTCATCGAAGGTTATGGAGATGGCTTTTTGGTAATTTCTATTTTTTAAGTCTTAATGAGAAAGCTGCCCGACGTCAAGAGGCATCATTAGCATACAATCTTCTTGAAATTCCCCACATATCTCAATGGTTTGCTTGGGATTTGCCACAACAGGGTAACACCTCATAAACACCTAACAAACTTGACATTTGACCTATTCCTTTCACATCTTTATTAGGATTACTAGTACTGTATAAAATCATGGACTATTACTAGTAGTATTTGAGGTGCTGCGTGCTATGCATGCTTGTACTGGAATTTTAAGAATAGCCAATATGTATAATCAGATAATATTGTATTTCAGATGATCCATCATTGAAGGTACTTTTCCCAGAACTTGAAGGTGAAGGTGTGGAATTCCTAGGTTCTACAACAGATGCAACTCTTGCTTTGTCCAACTACAGGTTTTTTATCAGCTTCAAAGACTCCTTTCTTAATGTAAGTATGCCTCTTAAAAAGACAAAACATGGAAAAATAGGTTATTTTAGAGATGTAGGTATTGGTGTATTTCTTTGTTCAGATGTAGTACTACCACACAAAGTGTACATTTAAATTGAAAATAATTGTTGCTTCCAAGGMTTTTTGTCACTTCCCATGCTGTTCATACTAAGACATAAATTTAGTGCATTTCTATCAGGTGGTTATATAGTCACTGAAACAAAGGAACATGGATTATTTGAGCAACCTCTTTTTTTTAATAAACCCAAACTGATTTAACTGAAAGTGAAACTTATCCTTGGTTTTCTAGATCCCTATTCATTTGATTGAGTCAGTGGAATTAAAAGATTTATTYTTTCTTCAAATTAACTGTAAAGATGCAAGATCATTCAGGTAAAGACATTTGATGGCCCAGTAGTAGATTAGTCCCTGACTAAACTGGTATCCATGGTGATTAAATAAAGGTTATTATACTATTATAAAGACCATTACTTTGGTAATGACTGAATGATGTTCTGTTTTTAATCAATGCATATGACATGAGCTTTATACATGGTAATGGCCAAATAGTAGAGTTAGAAATGTTTGAGGTCTACATGTACCTATATCCACTATCAAGTGAACATGACAACAACTGTCAACCCTATGTCTTTTTGTAGGATTGTTTTTGATAACAATGAACAGTGYGTCAAGTGGCTTCATCGTCTAAATRCAGCAATATCAGCTTCATCAAATATTGATGATCTCTTCTCATTTGCTTTCCATACTTGGAGTCTGGAATCCAAAACTAATGGACATTGTATAGGCAATGGAGACTGTAATGACCTTGCATACAGTGGTATGTATAAAAAAGAGTTTGTTATTTCTTATACTATCATACATACATGTATTATGTGTTACACAAGACAGGGTTGGGACAGTTCCTGGAAAACCTGGAAAACATTTCGTATTTAAACTTTCCATGCCATGGAAAGTCTTTAAAGATA